GGGGGGGGGCGACTGAGACCCAGAGAGAGGTTTTTGTCTGTTAGAGCCCAGCTGTGACCCAATAAATGTAATTTTTTTTATACTTTTGATCAACTCTGATTTATTTTCTCAGGTTTCCTGACTAAAGAATCGGGCTAAACAAGAGAAAAACAAATCTGAAACTGTACGAAAACAAAAGGAAAAATAAAAAAACCCACCCCCTCTCTTCCCCCCTTTCTTCCTGGCTGTTTGGGCTCTTTTCAGCCCGCTAGCAGCTGCTCCTGGACTGTGTAAATGTCATATCCCTGCCCCACCCGGAGACCCCTCTGTGGAGGCGTGGGGGGGGGGGGGGGGGGGGGGGTCTGTGGACCGGTGAGGTCATCAGATTATGGTTAAGGCCTCGGCCGGGGAGTAAACCAACAAGGCCTCCACCCTCCCTGATGTCAGGGCTGTTGCGAAATGTTAAAAAACCAAGTTCCAGATGTGTTCTTTTCAACAAGGGAAGTCTTTAAAATATAATACATAAGGCTGTCTATCTGTTCAAAAGTACGGAATCATGATCTGATGATGGTATTCACGTATTTCTAATCTAAAGATCAAACTTCCTGTATGCTAAATTTGAGAAGTCACAATTCATCTAATGACCAAACAGGTTCACAACTGTGGTAATAAATAATAAATAGACCTCCAGGAAGACGGTTTCTCCACTGGATTTGTGACCTCACTGAACTGCTGAAGGACTTTATGTTCTGGCTTCAAGTCTGCTTGATCCAGTTACGTCCATTTTGTGAAATATGGCCTCATTTAGAGGTTAGCCAGATCAAACCGAATATGTTACACAGATATCGTCAAAAAGCAGGAACCCACAAAGACCGTTCATGGGAGTTTCTACGGCTCTAAGAGAGATTGAGATCATCATTACAGAGTTTTTCCATCAATTTACAAGCGAATTGGTTCAAAGTGACCTAAATTTGCTGTTTGCTTGTGAACAAAAAGGCAGTTAGAGGGGCCAAATGTTCAATACATTCATGATTTAAGATGCCGGAAGAAAAACACTTTCACAAAGATACACAGGAAGTGTTTTTAGACAAACGGCTTTTGATCCAATGGCCCTAAAGCACCACCAACCAAAGCACTAAGTCACAATCCTTGAACGTGGAGTTTCTTTTCTAAACCAGGACTGGCTTTGTCTGTGTAGATAAAGAGTTGCTGTTTAGAGATAATCGGGGGGAAGACCTCTGGTTCTGACTGGGTCCAGTTCAAAGTCAGGTAAAGATTGCATTTTAACTAGACGCCATCTTTTTTTCTGTCTCTCCTCTCCACTGGACTGTCGGTTTGGAGGGTTTGAGGGAAAACCACCGGTTGGTCCATCCGTGCTACGGGAACCGTTAAGGTCTTTTGCGACCTCAAACCAGTTCGGCTTTGTCTGTGTAGATAAAGAGTTGCTGTTTACAGATAATCTGGATTGTTCGGACTGGATCCAGTTCAAAGTCAGGTAAAGATTGCATTTTAAAGTGACGCTATCATTTTTTATCTGTCTCTCCACTGGACTTGTTTGGAGGGTATAAAAAACGACCGGTTGGTCCATCCGTACTAACGGAACCGTTGAAGTCTTTTACAACCTCAAACCATTTCGGCTTTGTCTTTTTTGCTGTTTAGAGATAATCTGGATTGTTTGGACTGGATCCAGTTCAAAGTCAGGTAAAGATTGCATTTTAACTTGACGCCATCTTTTATTTTTGTCTTTTCTCTCCACTGGATTGCCGGTTTGGAGGGTTTGAGAGAAAACGACTTGTTGGTCCATCCGTACTACTGGAACCGTTGAGGTCTTTTACGATCTAAAACCTGGATTCGGGTCATTGTGGCTCACGTTGCAACACCCGATATAGTCTCGGCGTCATTTCGTTCCATTCGACTTCACCACCAGGTTCCTGGTGGTGTTTAGCTCAGCACTTCCCCCTTTTTCTGAGGACACCATCGAGCTTTCGCTTAACCCCGAGTCCCCTCGTGTGACTTAGACGCCTC